ATTTATTGTTAATCATTATTTTTATATTTTTGTTTGTGTGAAATGAAATGATGAGAATTATTGGTTTTTGGCAACTGGCAAGCACCTCCTATGCCATACTATTGCTTGTGCTCTCTCATTCACACTTTTTTTTACCACAATATGCCTGCGTGGCTGGCGCAGTATAATATATTATTAAACTTATTTTGTACTTCTCTTGTTAGTGTGAATGTGAAAATGAGACTGACGATTTGGAATTTGGAATACAAACACACAAAGTTGTAAGATTTGATAAAATAAGTGAAATCATATGCAGTGTACCCGAAGGAAGGATATGAAACTCATTTTCTAAGGCTCGAGTTCAGAGTGGCATGTGAGAGGGAGCAAACTATTCTAATGTGCATAACTCATGCATTGCTGTGCAAAACATGTTGAATATTACTTAGACGCATAACTATTTTAAAGTGCAATTCATCATTCTATAATGTGCATAACTCATGCATTGTTGTGCAAGATATTGTGCACACCACATAGACGCATTAATATGGTGCATTGATAGTACATAAGAAATTAAAATCCAGAATATCGATGAGAGCACGTAAAGGATATTTGCAATAATATCCGTACACCAAAATAACCACCAGTGTTTGTTTGATGAGAGCACGTAAATAAAAATGACTACGTCTTATAACACAACTTTCGTTGCGACTTTCGTTGAGCATTGTTTGGCCAATGTTTGCGTGGTGTTTGTAGCCTTCGCGCGAGCACATCAAATATTTCCAAACAATGGTCTTATCATTCGATTTTACTAATGTGCTTTGTCTAACGTCAAAACCAACTCTAGAGGCATAAGCTTGGTAGAAATCAGCGACCTCTTTTAATGTGCTAAAAAATTGTCCTTTATGAGGCCTAATCGAGTCTTCGCACTGGGGGATCCAATATTTAGTACTCCCAGGTGTTATCATGAGCTTGTGATGTTGTGATGGTCCAAAGAGTGTCGGTACTGCGACATTTTATGGAAATTGCTCAGATTAAACAAGCAAATAAATAAACAAATAAAAAGTAAAAAAAAAAACATTATATATATATATATATTCATCTATATATCTATATATATATAATTACTAGTTGATGCATTTAATAAAACCTATTTTCATTTTCCTCCAAAATGAGTAACATGTTTTTTAATTAATTACTCACTAATTTGCTAAAATCATTACATCTTAATATATATATATATATATATATTTTTATTATTTATCTTTTGGATCAGTTACTAAATTAATTCTAAATTTGATAGCAAAATATTCAAATGTGCAACGGCTAATGTTGAAACTTAAAGTTGATTGGCACATTTAGAGCTGTAACCGCTATATTTGGTTGCATTATTGGAAGAAAAATATAATTGACACATATTTTTTTTTTTCTAAAAATTAGAAACATCAATAATTTTTTTATTTATGTTAATTTTCTTATTATATGCCACAAATATATACATTATTTTATTCATATTACTAATGTAAACGTTGCATGGCTAAAATAAAATTTAAATCTCAATTAATTTTGAATGATAAAAATAACTTAAGAAAAAGTAATAATTTTTATATGATAGAAGTACATGTCTAATTAATAAATACAAACAAAAACGTATTTTATATCTGTGCATTGGCACAGGATCAAATACTAGTTTATACATGAAGTACCAATGCAATAGGGTGTTGTTATTTGTCGCCCCAAATTACTACTTGTCGCCAGAAAAAAATATTAAAAAATTATAAATTTACAAAAATATCCCTATGGTAAAAAGAAATTAATGAAAAAAAATGCATTCAAACATCTAACACTAAAGCTTGAAAGTCCAAGAAACGTCCAGAAGCTAAGCTTGAAAGTCGAACAAACGTCCAACAAAGGAGCCCGACTATGAAACCTAACGTCCAAAGGCTAAGCTCGTAAGCCCATGGAATGTTTCGTAGCAGAGCCCGACTCTGAAGAGAAACGTCTAGAAGTGAAGGGGCAACACACTTAACACTTTATAAATGAAAGCTTATAGTGCAGAGCAAACGTCTAACTTTGATGCCCGCTTATGACAGGATACGAACAGGAGCTAAGCTCGCATGGCGGATGAACGTTCAAAATTGAAGCTTCATAGTGGAAGCAAACGTCCAGAAGCAAAGCTTTGAAACCAAAGAAATGTTCAAGAGTGAAGCTTGTTTCCATAGTAAACGTCCGACTGCTAAGCTTCGAAGCAAAACAAACGTCACAAAGAGAAGCTTATGACATCAACAAACTTCCTTAAAAAATAGCTTAATGTACTCAGAAACGTCCAACGTGAAAGCCTCCTCAATAATTTGATTTCCACATATCACTCAAACTATTAGTCCAACAGAAAAGACCTCGTTTTTTAGTGAATCAAACTAGAGGTGCATATTTTTTAGAGAATCAAAGTAGATGTATTGTATTCACGTTCATGTTTACATTTTACAGGTTTAGATTACTAATCATGGCCATGGGCCGGTCCCGAACCGGCCCATGGTTAACAGGCCCAGAATCGAGCTCGTAGTTTGACTAGGCCGGTTCTGGGCCTCATGTATAAAAAATTTTGGTCTAGACCGGCTCTCGAGATGGCCCACCATATTTTCTTTTGTTTTTTAATCTGTTGACGGAACTCGACCGGTGGCCTGATATTGGACCGTTGACAGCCCACTAATCTAGGCCGTTGAATGCTTTTGACTATTTCAGATCGAACAATAAGTTTTTTTTATTTATTATTTCTAAATTCGATTCCACGGTCCGGGTCTCGGTTCAGTTTTGACCTACTAATAATAATAGAAATTACATTTTTGTCCTAGTAAAAATAATTTACTTACTTTAAAAATATTTTTGTCCTTCTTCTTCACTTTTACCAAAATCCATATATTCATCAATCTTCTTCTTCCTCTTCATTAAAAATTAACTCACCAATCTCTACATTATTCTTCATTAATCTACATGTCTAGTAATCCAACATCATCGAGGACACATGCAAATGAGGTAACTTATGTTAACCCCTAATTTATTTTTTTTTACATTGATTTTCACTCACAAGATAGATCTCTTGATTTTTAAGCATTTGAGTTATTTTATAACTTTATTCATTAAATCCTCTTCATATATGTTTCATTAAAAAATTGTGAGGGGTTGATTAGTATGGTAGGATGAATAGAGTGATAATAGATTTAGGTTAGGGTTTAAGTTCATTCAGCAAACGTCCCAGGTAAAAGCTAGAACGTAAACTAAACGTCTAATAGCTAAGCTTACACAGGAAGTAAACGTTTCATAGTTAAGCTACAAGAGCCCGGAAACGTCTAAACTGGAAGCCCGACTGGCAAGATAAACGTCCAGTTTGTAAGCTTGTATGTCTCTGAAACGTCTAATCATAATGCTTATAAACACTTCAAACGTCTAAAACAAAAGCATGTTTTTCTGCAACTAAATTTTATTGTTTTCTTAGTTTATCACCTAAATGATTTGTGATTATTACTAATATTTACTTTTAATCAAATGTGGTAATAAAATTGTGTAATTTAACTATTTACAGGATGAATTTGAAGATTATACGGATTATTTTCAAGACGGGCAAATACATAAGAGTTACAGTGAAGCTTTTCATTATTGCTACTTTCTTGCCATATACTCTGGGTATGAGTTGAAAATAACTTCAAAACATTTACCCACCAGTGTAAGGCTTAGATGTAATCGGGCCAACAGAAAAAAATCGAAAGATGGAGGGACTCCAAATCCAAGACAGAGAAACAACACAAAGTCCATTGTTTGTGGTTGTGAGTTCATGGTAATATTGAAAAACTTGACGCCATATTCGGAGTTTCATAGTTGGATTATGGAATGTGAAGAGGGTAGACACAATCATGAGCCCGTTGAATATGCAGAGGGACATCGGCAAATGAGTGCTATTAGTGTTGGAGCAAAAAAACTTATCCGGTCGATGGTTCTTTCTCAAACAAAGCCGCAAAACATATTGTTGGTTGTTCAACAATCATTTCTGGAGGACAATTGTCACATCAGACAAATTTACAACTGCAGGGCAAAGCTCCGGAAGGCATCATTTGGGGAAAGGAGTATGATTCAACAGTTCTACAAGTTGGCTAAGGACAACGAATATGATATTCAATCGCTTAGAGATCATGATACAAAGAAGATAACCCATGTGTTCTTGGTCTATCCAGAGTCGAAAAAGACACTTAGAGCATACCCTTGGGTCATTGGCATGGACTCCACGTACAAGACGAACAGGTACGAGATGCCTTTGTTCCAAATTATTGGCATGACTCCTGGTAATAAAATTTTTTTGATTGCTTATGCAATTATTAAGGATGAGTCAGCTAATAGTTATCGATGGATGTTGAAGAACTTATGGATTTTGATTGGGAATGATGTCGAGCCCACAGTCATTTTGACTGACAGGGAGATGGGGTTGATGGCTCCCATTAAGGAACAATTTCCTCAAACTCCCCACTTGCTTTGTACTTTCCACATCAACAAGGATGTGGAGAATCAAGTGTACAAAAAATTAGGCGGTAATAAAAATGTAAATAGTCGGGATTACGCTTCGAGTTTTAAAAGTGGCACATGGAGACTAGTATGGCAAGCCGACACTGTGGAGAAGTATGAAAAAGCCTTGGCAGACATGAGAGAAAAATTGCGTCCTCATCCAAAAATTTTGCATTACCTTGAGTCCACATGGTTGGATCCACACAAGGAGAGTTTGTTCGTCTCTGGACAAACCAAGTACAACACTTTGGGAACACAACAACTTGTAGAGTGGAAAGCGCGCATACCGTCTTAAAACAATGGCTTAACACATTAACCGACTGATTTGATACTCTTTTTATTTCGATACATGAGGAGACTAGATCTATAAATACACAAATCAGGTACATAATTACATTATGATTATGGTTTGTAATATTTAAATATAAATGTTATGTGATAAATGATTAAGACAAAAAAAAAAAGTTGCAGTAATGAAGCTTTTGGATCAGACGTTTAAAAGCCCTTTAAGCATATCACTGGGAAGTTTTGAGCTATTGAAAGCTTCGATTTTAGACGTTTAGAGTCTCTTGAAGCTTACCACTGGGAAGTTTCTGGCTGCTTAAAGCTTCAATATTAGACGTTTAAAGTTTCTTTAAGCTTATCACTGGGAAGTTTCAAGTTGTTCCTCATGTCTACCCGGATCAAGGAGAATATGGAGAACCGGATGTGAATGAATCACGTAGAGGTCGACCTGCGAGCAGAGCCTCTACGAGTCGTAACTTGTCTTCGTGGGAGATCAGTTGTCTCGACACCACTCAAGGGGTAAAGAGTTCATCACGTAGTTTCTCTCGTGGTCGTAGTTCTTCACGTGGTCGTAGTTCCTCACGTGGGCGTGGTTCCTCATATGGGCGTGGTCGCGGGACAACGAATTTCCAAAACACTCAAGGTATTCAACTTCTATTATATTTTACTTTTAGCTTTATGTCTAGATGTTTTTTTGGTATACATAAGCTTCTATTTTGTAATTTTTAGGTGGTGGTCGAGATGCAGTTCTTCTTTGGGAGAATTGTCATAAGATTCCTCAGTTTATTTTGCCATATGTCGAAGGGTATTTGGACGTTGTTGGCGACGGCAATTGTGGTTTCCGTGTTATAGCCGATTGTGTTTTGAATGATCAAAATCAATGGATGGATATAAGAAGGCAAGTGATTGATGAATTACTTTCGTTCCCTAATGTGTATGAAAAAGTGGGGTTTATGGATGTGAGCAAATAAGTTGCCCGCATAAGGCATGAAAGGAATAGTGGTTGTGGTATCGATCATTACATGGTTATGCTTGATGACTTGTTTCCCATTGCTACCTTATTTAATGCGGCTATAATTTGTCTAACCTATAATGAATGGGACTTGACGTGGGCAAACTCTGCTTGTACTGTGTTGCCGATGCGGAATACAAATGGAAAAGCAGGTCCGGAGAGGGAGATCACCATCCTCCGCATTGGGAATCACTTTGTTAGGTTACATCTAAGTTCATATTCTCCCGTACCACCACCAGCTTTTCTTTGGACAAAGTACAAAGATCCTAGTGTAGAAGGTTTTGATCTACCATATCGCGCTAGAATCTTTGAGTGGAGAAAACTTTCTGGCAACATTGGGGACATGAGGTAGTATCATGTGGACTTGACAAACGATTGTTAATTTTTATGTTTTTTTTTTTTTTTTTTGGTCTATTCTAGTATCATGTGGACTTGAGATCAAACTTTTGTCAAGACATTCATTTTTGTAATTTTCCACACGTTCAACTTATTCTATACATGTCCAACTTACACCAAAAACTAACTAACCATTCAACTAATTCAAACATCCATTTCAACAAATCAAAACATCTAACATTCAACTAATCCAAACATTCATTTCATTAAAAATCAATACATCTAACCATTCAACTAATCCAAACAATAAAAACGTCCAACCATTCAATATCCAACCAATTCAACACATTCAAACATCTAACCATTGAACTAACTACAAAACAATTCAATATCCATTGCTACAATCAACCAAATACAAAACAATTCATATCCATGGCTACCGCCTAAATGTATGAAAATTAGCCATGAGATCTTCAACTGTCTCCTTCACCGTTTCCGCCCTAACAGGATCTGCCTCCATAGCTATCGCAATGGCCTCATTTGCAGCGTTCCGAAATTTGTTCACCCACTGTGAATAAGAGATATACAAAAAACTTTAATAATTCAAATAAACATCACAATATACTAAAACACCAAAATAAAAAATTAATAAACGACTTACATATATGGGAACCAAGCATGTAGTGGCATTCGTCATCTCAATGTTGCGACGCTCCGGTGGGAGGACAAATGGGTGTGAGTACTTCTGATACCAATCCATGTACCCAGTATGTGTAGCTCCGGAATCATCCAACGTGACTGGGGTATAAGATAGAATATTCAAGCAACCCCCAATCGGAAAGGTCTTCCATCCGTCTGACGCAGAAATCGATGGAAAATCCAACTTGTAGTTATGCTTGCCCTGACTGCGAGTGACCTTCGTCGGGTGGAGGATAGTGGGTGGAATCGTCTGAACCATCCCTACTTGTTGCAGAACACGTGCTGGCATATAGGGCTCACATATGTCACGGTACTGAAGCCAGCCATAATAAAGTGTCCTTGGACAGGTAACATGTACATCCTCACCGTATGGCATCCACACAACCTACAACGAACAATACCCAAAAACACAAAAAGACTTAGTGATAACAAACAATAAATTATTATAATCAATTTAACAAAATTTAAGAACTTTGTAACTAATACTTACATTACTAAGCTTCAAATTGTCAAGTTGTCGCCGGTAACCATCCAATGCGACAGATGAAGGTTTGGATGCTTTTGAGTCCACTTTCCATCTGCATGTGCGGGCTTGCCCCTCCGCTATAACAGTAGTAACAATAACAACAAAGAAGGCAACAAGAATTAACACCTATCTCATCATATTATTATTTTATTTTTCTTTTGATTTATAATTTTCATAACAGTCCATAGCTAGTTAATTAATTAATTCGTGCCGCGTGGTTAATTATTTTGAAAGTTTACCTGGAGCTGGTGAGGGTGTAGATGAATCACTTCCTTCTTCTTGTGCTCGTCTATCGTCTTCATCCTCGCGTTCATTTTCACCACGGGCATCCTCATCTTCTTCGCCAACATCATCTTCTTCATCAACATCATCTTCTTCTCCACGCTCATCTTGTTCTGGGTTATCATCCTCTTCTTCATTCTCCTCATCATCCTCCGCCTCCTCATCCGATTGGTATATAGACGAGTCTTCACGATGCTTTGTCCAACATTCTGCAAGAATATCATCCTCTGTCCGACGTTTCTTAACCGCTAGACTTGCTTTTCTCTATATCTCCTTCTTCTTTGCCTCACGAGCTAAATCAAGTTCTTCTTGTTTTTTCCGACGGGCGGAAGAATCAACACGTCGGGACTTGACGTCACGCCCTCTTTTCTCTTCCGGTTGCGACTGAAAAATATGTATTTAAGGTGTTATGATAAGTATATCTTCCCAGGCACACCTCCATGGTACATTGTATACTAAAAAAAGAAGCTAATATACTTCTCTCCAGCAAAAGCTCAAAATCAGCTTATATAACAACATCAGCTTATATAAAACTTACCAGTGCCGGCCGTTTTCCTTTTGCTTTACGACCACTATCGATTCGGGCACAATCTCTGCTTCTTGAAGTTCCACTACCACGGGCTTTCATTTCAGCCTTCACATTTCACATAAGAGCATAACACCAGGTCACAAAACATTACAAACAAGGCAAAGATTTCACATACACAATATCACTTTCTACTCTAGCTTAAGCATGCTAAACAAAACCTTTAGGGCTGAAACCCAACTCTTTACAAACTCAACTAATCAGCATAACAATGGTCTAAAATGCATTCAAAGGTCTCGGCCAAAAACAAAACTAAAAGGGGGGTTCAACAAATTTTAAAAATGACAGGCCTCAACACATTCAAATAAACTCAAGGATTCCAGCAAGCTTTTTAACTTCCAAGTAAACTGAAACTAAACATCCAAATAACCACATAATCTCAGCCATCACTGAAACAAAACCAACCCTAATAACACGCCCCTTTTTCTCACATTTCAACAAAAAATGCACCGCTCTTCAAACTGAAAAATAAGCACAAAAAAGCATAGGATTTCGGCCAACAAAAGTACAAATGCAATATTTACTCAACCCAAAATCTGTTTGTCAGAAAGCAAGATATCCAAAGTCCAACTTCACGACAGATACCCACAAATCATAACTGATCAAACTCAAATCGAATCAAATTCCCAACAATTATCAATTCAAGACCCACCACAAAGGGATGTGAAGAAAATACTTTCGTCAAATAGAACACTGCAAAATGATGAGGCAACGGATTACCGTGAAAATAGAGAAAGAAAGGTGTTCGGGTGGGACGGCTCGAAATTGCTGCTGGGACTCGGAAAAGATATCCGATCGCCTGAGATACTGCTACTTTTCACTCTCCTGTATGCTCGTCTCAGCCACAGAAATGGTCAGGCCTCAACTGTGGGTTGCTTCTCTCACCTGGTGGCTCTCGTCGGAATCTGGTTCAGGCAGGGGGAAGGTGCTGCTCGTCGGTCGCCGGACTGAAACTCGTTGGTGGTGCTGCTCTCGATCGCTGGACTTAGTTTTGTCGACTCTCCGTGTCTGGACTCGCCTCGCCGTCGGGAAGTGGTCAGCCTTCAAGGTTTGTTGCCGTTGGCAGAGAAGGGTTTAGTGCATTGAGAGAGGAAATGAGAACTTGTGAGAGACGATTGGGGTTAGGGATTTGGGCCATATGTTTTATTCAAATTGGGCCCAAGTGTTGGGCTGGGTGGGATACTATAGACGTACAGCTTTTATTTTTTTAAAGTGGGTCAGCCCGATATTTGATGTCCAGAAATCGACACCAACCAAAATAACTGGAAAATTATGAACATATAATCGAAAACGACCGATTTTCAGATATAAACCGACTCTAAATTTTAGTTAAGACTAAATTTGTGCAACTAAAAATGAAAATTTAAGATTTTAATAGAATATAATAGTCTTTTTCTCAAAATTATGTTTATTTAACATTTCATACTATTTTAATTATAATACAGAATAAGACTAAGAAAAATATCGACAAATTTAAGTAAGTTAAATAATAAAGAAAAAAATTGGCGGGTCAGCCTGGACCCGGTCCACCAGGCCAAAAGCCCAGAACCGGTCAAGTCAAACTACGGGCTCAGTTCTGGGCCGGTTGACCACAGGCCGATTCAGGACAGATTCGATCGATTCGGGTCGAACTGGCGGGCGGGGCCATCCCAACGTCGTGACTAGTAAGATGAACCCGTAAGATATAAATAGGAACATGCATACAAAAACCTCTACGTTGATTCGCTAAAAAGTGAGGTTCATTTTATTAGATCAATAGTTTAAGTGGCGTTCATTCACAACTATCATAATTATCAATAAACTAATAAGATATTAATTGTATTTCATAACTAAATCTTCACCATTGGATCTCAGCGGCCTACTGACTCAAAATTTTTTATACATGACGCCCATAACCGGCATAGTCAACCACAAGCTCGGTTCTGAACTGGTTGACTATGGGCCGGTTCCACAGACCTGGCCGGGGCGGCCCATGGCCATGACTAGTACTCTAAACCCGTAAGATGTAAACATGAACGTGCATACAATACATCTACTTTGATTCACTACAAAATATGAACTTCTACTTTGATTCACTAAAAAATGAGGTCATTTCTATTGGACTAATAGTCTAAGTGAGATCAATTCACAACTATGAGAATTATTTGTAAACATTAAAAAAATTACGATTCTATTAAAATATGATTCTATTAAAAAAAATATTTTTTCACTAATAAATAGGATTACGATTTTATTATTAAAATTATATTAAAAATAAGTGTATATTATAAAATAACAATTCTATATCCTTTTAAAGAAGTTTGTTGTTGTCCTAAGCTTTCTTCTAGAACGTTTGTTTGGATTCAAAGCTTAACTATAAGACGTTCCATAAAGACTTAAGCTTCCTTCTGGAACGTTTATTTGACTTCCAAGCATAGCTCTAGGACGTTTGCTTTCACAATGGAGCTTCCATTTTGGACGTTTGCTTGAACACCAAGCATAGCTTCTGGACGTTTGCTTTCATAGGCAATTTTCAGTAAAGAACGTTTTGTATGCTTTAAAGCTTAACTCTTGGACGTTTCACGTGGCCTCAAGCTTTCCAGATAGATGTTTACTTGACTTCCAAGCTTAGCTCCTGGACGTTTGTTTTTACAGTAAAGCTTTCATGTTAGGCGTTTGCTTTTATAGGCAAGCATTAATACGGGACGTTTGGAATGCTTTATAGCTTTAATATTTGACGTTTCTCATGGACTCAAGCTTTCCAGTTGGACGTTTAGAAGCAGAATAAGCTTTCCAGGTAGATGTTTACTTGACTTCCAAGCATAGCTTCTGGACGTTTGTTTTCACAGTGAAGCTTCCATGTCAGAAGTTTGCTTTTATAGGCAAGCTTTAGTACGGGACGTTTGGCATGCTTTATAGCTTCAATCCTGGACGTTTCTCATGGGCTCAAGCTTTCTAGTTGGACGTTTAGCAGCAGAATAAGCTTGCTATTTAAAAGTTTTAACTTTGTTGCCCCTTCCCATTTAGACGTTTCACATCAAAGTCGGGCTTCGCATTTGGACGTTTCCTTTGCTTCTAAGCTTAGCTTTTGGACGTTTGTGTTCACAGTCGGGCTTCTATGTTGGACGTTTCTTCGACATTCAAGCTTAGCTTCTGGACGTTTCTCTTCAGAGACGGGCTTCACATTTGGACGTTTCGAATGCCTTTTTCTAGTAACTTTTTTTTTACCATAGAAATATTTCTGTAAATTTATCATTTTCTTATTATTTTTTTCGGGCGACAAGTAGTAATTTGGGGCGACAAATAGCAATCCCAATGCAATAAGGTATTGTGCACATTTAGGCCAGGATACACTATATTGTGTAATTGATGCACTTTATTTCAACATTTACATATCCATGAAAACCTGCAATCAATTTTAAGAGAATATGCTTGGATGCGATATTCCAAAAAAAAAAAAAAGATTATACGATTTAATCACCATGTCGTGTCTCGCACAAGGAATCTTCTTGATATTCATTTTTATTTTTAATAAATAAAATATATACGTAAGTGACAATCGGAAATTCAAGATACCTGTTGTGTGTCATTCAACTCCATAATAAGCAGTCAACGTGCGTATCAGAAGTTGCGAAATTCGCTTCAATTCTGGGAGCTGAGCGATGGCGATACGGTCGAATCTCGTCTTGAAGAATTTCAGTACTGTAATCTCCTCACGAGGCCAACGATCGATTCCAGGAGGCTGTCTGAAGCAGGTCCATCATCGATTACAATTAATTGATCGTCATTGTCGCAGACAATCGTGGTACCTAAACTTTCGATTTTTAGGTCGAGATTGAGCTATGGGTTTTTAGCTCTGATCGATACTGAGCCTTTGGATTTTTCCCCAATTGAAGTTATGAGCTTCGGGAAACAGACGTGGTATATTGATGAGTGTCTTAAATGATGATAAGTTACCAAATTACCGTTAGTAGTTGTGCGCCTGTGACAGGATCATGGCCGTTGGATTAGTCCAATCTTATGGTCATGATATTTTCTTATTTGTTTCCTTGACACCATTTTTCACCGGAACTCATCCATACTATATAT